ACATATTTACACAGCTAAACCATAACACACGCGGCAACCGAGCTAGCTAGCCGCCATCACGACCGCCACACGGGGGGCCCCGCCACACCCCCAGCTCACCTTGAGCCGACCGACGCCCGACTTTCCCCGCCGCCGCCGCCACCGCCACCCCTTCCTTCTCCGGAGGGGCGCCGCGGCTGCCCGCCTGACGTGGCGTACGTAGGCCGTACTCGGCACCCATCTCCCCGTGGGGGCCGATGACGCCTGCGTGTCAGAGAAAGACGTCAAAACATAACATAGACACGATAAACACACATATATACATACACGCACACACTCTCTGTTGTCGTTACGCATACACGTGCACAGGCATAAAGCGGGACAAGCATATGCAGGCTGTTAAGGAGGCTGCATGCACGCGGGGGGTGACATGCAGCCCAACCTTCCTAGTGGGTGTACGCGCACGCGCATGAGTCTACACTCACATCATCGCGTAGCGAATTTCCCCCGAGGTACATATCACCTGGTTCGCCACCGTAGCGGATCATCCCGCCGTTCGCCCCACGCCGTATACCTCGCGACTGTAGTTCCCAGGTTTCCTTCATCTCCCCTTCAACCACCACCCGCACCCGCGCCCGCACCCGCACCCACACCCGCACCCGCACCCACACCCGCACCCGCAAACGCACCCACACCCGCACCCACACCCACACCCACACCCACACCCGCACCCACACCCACACCCACACCCACACGCTGTCCCCCTTTCCCCATCCAAAGGGGCCCCCGCGAGCTCCGCCCCGACCCACATCCCATACACACACACACGCTCTCTCTCTCTCACCTGCCACACTCCCTAGCTCCGGAATATCGTCCGCGGGTCCCCCCCGGGTATTCTCCGTACCGCTGTCCGCCACCTCACGATCGTGCCGTGCTACTTTTCATGCAGAAGCACATACAAACATACGCAAATAACTAAAACAAAAAACGCACGTTAAACAACTTGCCAATGTGGCCTCATGGGAGGTGACGGGACTTTGGGAAATAGCTACACGACAAAACACGTCAACAGCCGAGACAACGGCACGCAACGAGACAGACAGATAGATAGATTAACTGACTCACAGACAGACAGACAGACAGACAGACAGACCGAACACACCAGGAACAATGACATGGCAATGACAGGGGCGCTGGACTGCAGGTCTCGGTGTGCCAACCGCCAAACTACCATCCAACTACTACCAGCTAACACATAAGCATCCCAGGGAAAAAGAGCGCTGTATGACCCACGGGTCCGTCCATTCCCACGCTGCTGCTTCCCCTGCCCTCTCCCGTCCCCACCCGCTCCGCGGACGCTTCGCTGGTAGTGGCGGGCGGTGTCCTTATGTCCGGTTGCGGTGGGCGTTGTGCTGTTCTATTGCCGACGTGGAGCGAGACGTTGGTTGAGTTTGTGTGCGCGTGGAAGAAAAGGGTTTTGTAAGGGGGTAGCGGAGGTTGGAGTTGGGCGAGAGGGAGGAGGGATGGTGGGTGCAAAGGTGCTGCCGGCGGGTATTAGTCCTGGTGGAGTTATGTGGCGGGTGGAGAGCAGTTTCCGGGACATGCCGCTTGCCTGCTGTTGGGGATGGGCGACGCTTATCATGCTCAGCGGCGTTGGAAAGCTGTTGGAGGAAGCGTCGACGGCCAGCGTGATAGACACGTGCAAGCATGTAGGCCAAAGTGGCGCGTGATGTCGCCAAAGCCTCCCATGGCCTGTGCATGCTGGATGTTCACAGCTAGTTACGAAAGCTTGATTTCTAGGGCGAGAGCGAGACATAGAACCCTAAAATATTGAGGGAATCGTACAACAGTTACTTTGAATACGATTAGGTGGTTTGCAGACCAACGACTTAGGCAGAAGATAACCCTAAGCAAGCCCAATTATACATGCGATCATAGCTTTGTTTACATGTAATCTTGACAGTACAGCTCTGGTATTTTCACATACAATGACATGATTTAGGTTCATGATGTAAGCATAGCACGAATGGCAACGGTCAAGCTGCTAGCTGCATTACAGCCGAACATGTGCGTGCCAATCAGAAGGTCTGTCTACGCAACTCTTCATGATGCCAGGCCTTCCATGCTGTGTGCTAGTCCACTTACTTCCGTAAACCGGCCACCACCACCCATCACCCTCAGGATGACACATACGTTGATCAATATATAGAAGCTACTCGTGAGGTTATCAGGCGGCTAGTGGGCCCCTTCCATGCACTGCAATATGCCACACATGCCACACAGGCCGCTGTTGGACGCACCATCACCACCCGCCCCACCGCCACCACCATCTTCAGGGCCAAGTCGGGCCGCCATCAGACGGTGAGTGGGTGGTTGGAAACGTTGGGCAGCCGTAGCAGAGTAGTGGCGCGGACAGGCAGCAGCAGCAATGTCCACATGAAGATTGCTGCTGTGGGTCCGTCGTTGTCTGAAGTCGCCGTTTCAAATCCAGGTGCCATTCTAATCCAGCTGCTCTCCCATTTCCGATTTCCCCCTTCCCCTTCCCCTCACACCCCATGCCTGCCGGTGGTGTGAACCAGCGGCCTGCACTGACCACAGCCTGCCACTGGGGCCAGGTGCACAGGTGTGCATTTGCCAGCCATTGCAGTTACACTGCGCCCCCCTCACCACTGCTGCCGCCACACCGGGCGCCGCTGCTGCTGCCATGCTGGGCACCGCTGCTGCCGCCGTGCTGGGTGCTGCTGCTGCCTCCACACTGGGCGCCGCTGCTGCGGCGCCGCTGCGCCTGGGCTTCGGGCTTTCGTAGGTCGCGGTCAGCACCTTGCTGATGCGACCACTGCTATGAAATGCAGCCATCTCTGGCGGGTAGGCATCCAGGAACTTCTGATGATCCAGGATGGGGGCGTGACAGGGGATGTTGCGCAGCAACCTGTGGAACCAGCGAAGCCCAACCTTGACGTCAGTCTGAGCCCTGTTGTCCCGCTCAAAATTGGTCTTGCTGCCGCGGCTGTTGCAGCGGTGGTCCCGGACCTGCAGGTAGATGGAGCACCGGGGCCGTGATCAACACAGTTGCATGGGAAGCAGGGGTGTACATGCCAGTGGCATTGCGGCCCGGCCCTGTTGGCTGGCTGCAGTCCCCATGATGACTCCAGCGTCTCGGAATTCGACAGGTGCTGCACTGCTGACCCCTTGTTCCGTTTGCCTGCCCTCTTGGTGCCTGGTTGGGTTGTCTTGGTCGCCCCTCTAACGGTCCTCTCTACACGGGAAAAAGCTCACAGCAGGTGCTCCTCTGCATCCCCACACCTGCCCAGTTGGGCACGGCAAGGAACACTACTGTTGACCCGTGGGTGCTGCAGTAGTCCTGTGACCACTGCACACGCTCACCTAACACCTCACATGCTCTCCTAACACCTCACAAGCTTGGTTGCTCATTGTCTGATTGGCCGCCCTGCCCCGCTTTTCCCCTAGCCCGCGGCATGCACTGCCAACGGTTTCCTGGCTGCTTTGTTACCGTTCCTCCTGTGTTTTGCAGGTGACCTTGACGCTGTCTGCAACTGTACCTTCCTAACCTCCTCCTCCTTTTCCTCCTGCTGTGGGTCAGGGTTCGACACCCCATACGGGGCCCGTAAGTTTTTGGCCTTTTTTCGGTATCCTCGTCAGGGCCCGTAGGGCTTTTCCGTGGCCCCCGTAAAGATTTTGGGGCGCGAAGCGTCCCGTACAGGGCTGCCCCCGGACCGGCCTTCGGTAGCTCCCGTAAGGATTTTCAGGATTTATAAGAGGCTGTACGGGGCCCTGTAGGGGAGAGGACGGACCATATATAGGATAAGGCCACACACTTGGCAGACATAATTCATATTGCAATATTTAACTACACTTTTCATAATACTTTTATAGCTTCTGGTCTGTAACATCCAGCGATGGCAGACAATGAAGTCAGTGCATGCGTTGTTTGCCAAGTCTTCCAAGATGCAAGGGAAATGGGAGGCGTTTGCGAAGGAGAATGGCTGCATGCGGCTTAAGTTCCCTGCTTTCAATGCCACCTGTTGGTTCAGCCGCATGGCGTGCATTGTTGTGCTTTGTGGAAACTCGCATACCTTACTGCGGTTTTTAGCAAAGTACAAGGGTGACTGGGCCAAGGGTGCCGGTGTGTACAGCAAGTTATCCGATGTGCAAATGCTGGCACGTTGTGTCCTCCGTGATTTGCTAGGGCCATGTGAGGAGCTTAGCAAGGCTTTCCAGTCTGATGAGCTGAAGGCTCATCAAATCTTCAATAGGGTTGAAGCCACGAAGCAGGAGCTGAGCAACAGAGGTGCAGAGCCTTTGCATGGCTCAGCGTTCTCGGTTTTCAGTTCTGCAGTGAGCAAGTCTTTGGTCTGGACTGTGGGTGGGAATGCCGTACAGTTGAAGGGGAAGGTGAACAAGAAGCAGCTACATGACATGGCCAGCACTTTCGTAACACTAGTTCTGTCGTATTTGGATGAGCGCTTTGCTGATGCAGCTCTCCTGTGCTCTTTCTGCATTTTCGACTCTGCCACGTATCAAGGCATGTCAGGCTCAGAGAGGGCTAAGTTTGGTGAGGGTGATCTGCTAGCATTGCTAAGCCACTTCTGCTCTGCTAAGAATCCACACCACCTGTTCGAGGTTAAGCCTGATGAGTTGCCGAACGTTTTAAAGGAGTTCAATGTCATGAAGGCACGTCTTGCTTACTACATTTCGCTTGGCAGGGTGACTTGGGAGGCAGCGAGGGTGAGTTTGCGTGCTGAAGCCCATCTCCTTCGTATGATGCGTTTGGCTCAAGTCGCTACAATCTTGCCAACACAGACGGCATGCGTTGAGTGCGGATTTAGCCGGCATCGTATTATTAAGAATCGCCTGACGAACCGGCTAAAGCTGGAAACTGTTGATTCGGTACTTCGTGTGGGGATGTTGGGACCTGCTGCTGATACCGGGGTGAAGCCACTGATTGATCAGGCTGCTGAGATCTACTCGTGTAAGGGCTATACAGGCATTATTCACAAGTTGTTTTCTGACGTTAGCAAAATTAATTTGGATCCATACGGAGAGGATGATAATGAGGAGGTTGCGACCGACCCAGAGATTGAAGTACTGGTACAAGCAACATACCCCACTAGTGACGATGAGGCTTTTAGTGACAGTGACTATGAGACCGACGTAGAACGAGATACCGATGAGTCGTGCGTGGATGAGGATTTTGATGATGAGGAGGAGGACGAGAAAGAGGAGCAGAAGGGATGGGCGGCCAAGGCGCTTGGCTTTAGCTGAGTGTGCCATGTCCCCGTGTGTAATGGTTCATGAGAAAATACCGATAATAACGATTTAGAGGGCAAAAAAATGCAAAGCGTCACTTTCCACAGCGTTTCAGCCAGGGACAGTGCCCCCGTAAAGGTTTTGTGGGGATTATGGGGGGCCCCCTAAGGTTTTCGGCCGGTACAGGAGCCTGGTACAGGGGCCCCTCCGTAAGGAAAATTTGGGAGGTACAGGGGAGCCTGCAAGTTTCAGGAAGGTCACTGTCGAACCCTGCTGTGGGTCTCCTGGCCGGACTCGCCAATCTTGCAATACAGCAACTCGCCCCCCCCCCACACGCCCCAACACCCTTCACTGGCATTCTTACCTGGATGAACCAGTCCGCCTTCAGCAGCCCGTCCGGTGTAAGCGCCAGCACAGATGCCATGGCTTCCAGGAGGCTGTGCAGGTCCTCATAGCTGTCGAAGTCCTTGTCCGTGCAGCGCTCGCCGAGCACAACCAGCTCCCTGAACATCGTGGAGCTGAGCGACGGGATGGCGGTGATTGAGTCCAACAGCTCTCCAGACTCCGTGGTTGCCGCCTGAGCAGGGAAGAGCAGGTGGCGACAGGTAGCAAGTATGTTTTGTGTAGGGCAGCAGTACAAGTTCGTGTCCTCTAGCCTCGCACGGTCCAGTCTCCTGTGTCCCAGAAACCCTTCTGTTTCTGTGTCACTGCAGCACCCCGCATGCCTTGAAAACCGACATACACCTGGGTGAGCGCCTCAAACGCCCACTTCTCCAGGTGTGCACCTGAACACAACTTCTGCATGTATTGGCCCAAGCCTCTAGGGCCTCCTGGTTGGTGAACATGCACTACTCAGAAGGTATTCTTGATGTACATGGGCATGTGTAGGCATTACGCCCGTACCTGCAGCACCTGAGCAAATAGCGGGTTATCCAGATACAGCCTGCCATTTTGCTCGGTGGTGAAGTTGGCCAGCAGCGCCTCAAACGCCGGCGGGAGCTTGGCGCGCTCCACTCCAGCCATTGTGTCCACCAGCTCGCGCAGGAGCAGCACCTGTGAAGTAGGCTGGCCCAGCACTTGCAGTACCATGCGCATGTCCGCCAGCACCTGAATAGGGATCACATGCGGCAATCAGGGATTGCTAGTCGAAACCGTCTGGCTCCACCAGCTGCCGTTCAACATGCAAGCAGCACACTCTTTCACAGCCAGCGCCTGACCATGCTTTGTACCCGTTCCCATTTGCAGGATTGCATTATGCAGGCCCCACCTCGGGAATGAGCTTTCCTCTCAGGGTTTGCTTGACCAGCTCCGCAGCTGTGATAGCCGTCCCTAACCGCCCCCTCCACTCCTGGCACAAGTACGCAAGCATGGCGATCTGCTGTGGTGACTGCCAGAGCAGGTCGCTTGGCAGTGGCGGATCCCAGCTCGCGGCCTGGGCCTTTAGCTGCTCCCAGGCGACTTCCAGCACGTCCTTGGACACCATGGGGCTCAGGTTGAGTTGGGAGTGGTACGTGATTAGGGCAACACCGTTGGTCTGCGGCCATGCACAGCAGAGAGGTGTTCGGCTCTACAGAAGCTACAGTCATGGGTAGGACAGGCTGGGGGGGAAAGATGAACGCCAGAATATGCGGCTATAAGCAGAGCTCCGCACCGAAAGCTGACATGCCCACAGCATTCACAAGCGTTGCAAGCAGGCATGCATGCACGCCGTAACCACAAGAGACAGGGATGCCAGTTTGTGTTCACACAATTGCTAGTAGATCAGCAACAAAATTGAGTTCACACCGACACACGGCTGCTGCGGCTCACAACACCACCGCGTCAGCTGTGCTGCCAGCAATGTTGGCC